TTGGTGTTTGTTACAGTAAGAATATGAAATTTAGTTTACAAATTTACTTCTTGGTTAGCGGAGTTATTCCATAAACATACTGAATTTCCTGAACCACTACACTAGGGTGCCAGATCGTCACAGAGTGCAAATAGGAACAATAGGTTAGGGTTCCCCAAAAGTGAGGTGATAAAACATCAGTAGCTGCTTTTCCTTACTCTTGTAACTATGCTTGCCTCACCATGCTTACATAAATTTATAGGATACCAAGATGTGGGCCTGGTGAGTTAAATAAATTTTGTGGGTGCTTATGAAAATAACAGGTGCACCAGAATGTGCTTTTTTCTAACTTTTTTCTAGCCTGTGCTTCTGCTGGGAGGCTGCTGCTCTTGCCTAGCAGGACAGCCCACCAGTTGGTGTGAATAAACACTCCAAATTTTGGACTTCATCCGAGATTTGATGGTGTGGTGGCCCCGACAAGTCCCTGGGATATCCGCAGAGGGCCTTCAAAGGACCTATTAGTGCTGACGATCTTCTCTCTGAGAGTCTGGGATGATGCAGCACAACCTCCCCTATCTTCAACTTCCCCTATCTTCCCACTAATACACTCTCACCTGTGTTAGAATGTAACTCTAAACATTTTAGGTTTAACTTTGGTATGTCCATTCTCCCTTGCCACAGGGAGTTTAAGTTTATTGGATTACACCCATCACAATGTTCCAGAGGCACTCCCATTCCTCTTTTTCTTGGAATATAGCTCTAAACATTTTAACATTGGTATGTCCTTCCTCCCTTTCCACGGGAAGTTAGGTTTACCACAGTGCTCCTGAGGCACTCTCATTCCTCTGTGTTTATCTATAACTTCCTTCTCCGTGCTTTGCTTCCCTATCACTTTTTTCTCCTAATCAGACTCTGATTCCTCAGAAACCTCTGAGTGAAATACTGCTTTTCTCCTTATGTCCTTTGTATAGTTAATTTAGAGCAAAGTCCTCTTTGTATAGACACAGGAAGACAGTTAATACTATGCCTTTATAACTTGGGAGTTAATTGACTCCGAATAATAATTCACACCTTGGCATCTGCTTTCTCGACCTAAACCTCAGTTGCCCTTAGTTCCTAGCATCCCAAAAGCAGGGTCCCAATGAGGGACTGCATGTGACTTCCCTGGCGTCGAAACGGGCCAGGCCAAAGTGTCATATAAGTTAAGAGCATGGTCATGGACAAATTCTGCCATGATCTAAAGAGTAACAACTACATTAGGACCATGCTAGGGTTAGGAAAAACTAATCTGCCCTGAGCACTATAGTCTGATATCTATAGTGAGATGTCCCCAGGAGAGCAATCCTATAAGCTCAATAGTATCTCTTACTGTGTCCATACAAAATGACTAATATTATTAAGGAGTAGAATTAAGATCGGGGGCAGCTGTAAGTAAAACAAGTGCCCTTTGTACCATTTTTAAAATTTTTTTTTCTTTTTCCGGTCACACTCAGTGATGCACAGGGGTTACTCCTGGCTCATGCACTCAGGACTTACTCCTGGTGGTGCTCAGGGGACCATATGAGATGCTCAGAATTGAACCTGGGTCGGCCGCATGCAAGGCAAATGTCCTGTCTGCTGTGTTATCACTTCAGCCCCTGTACCATTTGGGGGGGGGGAGGGGAATACACCTGGCAGAGTTCAGGGCTTGCTTTTGGCTCTGAGCCTGGAGGTCACTTCTGGTGGAACTGGGGGGCGGGGGGGGGCAGACATATGGGATGCTGGAGATTGAACCCCGGTCAGCAGCCACGTGCAAGGTAAGTGCTCTCCACTGTACTCAGCCCAAAGCCAGCACCTTCCTCACTGGTAAATTAATTTCTTGTGTGTGTGTGTGTGTGTGTGTGTGTGTGTGTGTGTGTGTGTAGAGCCACACCCAGTGGTACTCAGGATCCTTGGTGCTGGGGATTCACCCTGGGTTAGGAATAGCAAGCAGCTTCCTCATTGCATTCTCTCTCTGGCCCCATCTACTGGTTAATTCTTTTACAACTTTTTTTTTTTTTGAGGGGGGCGTCACACCCAGAGATGCTCAGGAGTTACTCCTGATTATATTCGGGAATTACTCCTGGTGGGGCTTGGGGGACTATAAGGGATGCTGGGGATCGAACTTGGATTGGCTGTGTGCAAGGCTACCCCCAGTTTGATCGCCATCCCCAAACAGTTTAGGGGCAAGTAGATGCCTCTCTGGGTGTGACCCTCAAATCCATCTTCCTGCAAAAATTATTTGCCAATTACTCATTGTTTTGGCAAAGAAAAGTGGGAGGTTTATCAGAAAATATACGGGCACACCCCTGCACCCCATATGGTCCCTTGAGCCCTAGTAGGAGTGATCTCTGAGCACTGGTATAGCCCCTAAACTGAAAAAAAAGGGAGGGAGGCTGGAGCAATAGTACAGCTTGCCTTGCACATGGCTTCCTGGGTTCAATCCCCGGCATCCTATATAGTCCCCTGACCACTGCCAGATATAATTCCTGAGCACAGAGCGAGGTGTAACCCGTAGGCATTACCAGGTGTTGCCCAGAAACAAAACAGAAAATACAAAGAGAGAAAAAGAAGGGGCCGAGAGATAATACAGTGGGTAAGGTGCTTGCCTTGCATTCAGCTGACCCGGGATCAATGCCTGGCATCCCATAATGTCCCCAGAGCTCGCCAGGAGTAATTCCTGGGAGCAGAGACAGGATAACCCCTGAGCACAGCCAGGTGTGCGCCCCCCCCCAAAAAAAAAGTGTGTGCAGGAGCCAGAGAGATAATACAGGAAGTACAGTACTTGCCTTGCATGCAGCTGACCCTGATTTCATGCCAATCCCGTGTGTTGTGTCTTAAGCACTGAGCCAAGAGTAGCCAGAGCACAAGCATGAGTCTGTGAAGAGCAGGTGAAGTTTGCTTTTGATTTGTTTTAGTTTGGGGACACACCTGGCAGTGCTCAGGGCTTTCTCCTGGCTTTACACTCAAGCATCACACATGGTGGGGCTGAGGACAGCCTATGGGATACAGGAATCGAACCTGGGTTGGCTGCATGCAAGGCCAGTGCCTCCCTGCTGTCCTATGGCTCTAGCCCCACACTCCCTGTTTTATTTCTTTTAAGGGAACTTAGCCTGGCCAAGTCCTAGCTCTGAATTCAGGGATCACTCTTGGAGGACTCAGGGGGACTATATGGGGTGCCAAGGGACCAAACCTAGGTCAGTCACATGCAAGGAAAACACTCTCTTTGCTGTACTGTCACTTCGACCTTACAGTTTTCCTCTTTTATTTTAGAGAATTTACATTCTCCATCCCTCTCAGAGAGCCTGGCAAACTACCGAGAGTATCCTGCCTGCACGGCAGAGCCTGGCAAGGTCCCCATGGCGTATTCGATATGCCAAAAACAGTAACAATAATGGGTCTCATTCCCCTGACCCTGAAAGAGCCCCCAATATGGCACTGTTGGAAAGGACGAGTAAGGAGAGGCTGCTAAAATCTCAGGGCTGGGACGAACGGAGACGTTACTGGCATCCACTCGAGCAAATTTATGAACAACGGGAGGACAGTGATACAGTGATACAGAATTAAGATAGTGTTTATATGGTTATTGGACTAAAGGAAGGAGAAACGCACCCCTAGATGGCATTTTCGCCCTTAGGTGGGTCTTCTTACTAAATGAGAGTTTGTCCTAGAAGAAGCTTCCTCTGAGGGAGGGAACCTTACATCTGTTGATTGTATGACCTGCCTATATGTAATTGCTACCCCAATCCCCTCATGATTTGGAAGATAACTAAGGCTGTAAGAGTGGACAAGGGAAAGAATCAAGGGAGAATCCGAGAAGGAGAATCCAAGAGGAATGAAGGAGATTTGGGGAAGGAGAATCAGAGGAGAATGGAGATGAGACTGGAATAAACTGCAGTTGATACCAACCAACCTGGCCCTTGTTCTTTCCTTCATTCACCCATGGCCATCAGCCACCCCAGGGTGGGGGAAGCAGCCCAAGTCAGACCATCCAATGCAGGCAGCGAGAGAGCAAGAAAGCGAGCGAGCAAGAGAGAGAAAGAGAGACAGAGAGAGAGAGACAGAGACAGAGAGAGAGAGAGAAAGAGACAGGCTTCATATTCATTTTTTGAATACACAACGTGAGCTGACAAACCAGTTCTTTGACACAATTACCACTTGTGCTTGCTTTCAATAGAGGAAAAAATTAAAGTATTTTATTGACATGAAACATAATAGAATTTCTTTCAGTTTCAGCACTCAGTAAGGCTAAGGGCCTTTAACTCCCAGGATAAGACTCTAGAATTCTGGAGTCTACTTTTAACTGGGGCCAAGATGATCTTACACTTGGCTGACCCAAGTACAAAAACTGGGTACCCTGATGATCCCCTGGACCCTGACAGCTGTGACCCATGAACACAGAGTCAGCAGTAAGGCCTGAGCACTGTGAGGTGGGGTCCCAAAATACAGCAACAACAAAAAGTGAACTCTAACCAAGCGAGGAAAAAAATTCAAGTGCAAAAACAAATTATAGCATAAAACATATAAAGAGTCAAACACTGGGTCTTTAGAACCCCAATGTTCAACATTTTCTATGCTCCAGAATACTATGGTTTGTCCGGAATCCTTGTTCTCTTCCTCTGCTCTCACATTTTTTCTGTGCATGGGTTTATTTTTTGATTTGGGGCTAGAACTGGCAGTATTCAGGGATTATTCCTAACTCTGTGCTCAAGGATCAGTCTTGGCAGGTTTGGTGAATACTGGAATGAACTGGATCAAACCAGGGTCAGACCCGTGCAAGGTCAGCTGTACTACCTCTCTGCCCCTTTCTAAACTTCTTCCCAGCACCCCAAAAGTGTCCCCTGAGCAATGCTCCCCCTCACCATACACACACAAACACACATATACAAAAACCACCCCAACTATCTTCCTTCGAAAAAACTAAAAAGCCCTTTACCCACAGTACTCACCCCAATAGCCAAGGTCCCCTAGTCAGGGAGATCAGAGTGGGGGGGGGTGGTTTTCTACTTGATCTGAGGGGATAGAAATTCGTAATCTGGAATAAACCAAATTTGGGGTCAGACAGACTGTCAAGTGGGTAGAAAGAGTGCCTTGCTGTCCTAGGTAAAGCCTCTGCATCCCATTTGGAACCCAGAACAGTACCAGGAATAAGAACCAGGAGTAAGCCTTGAGCATATTCAGGTGTGGTCCCCCCTCCCTCCCTCCCAAGATAATCAAAATAACCCAAAAAAGGCCAAAAAGTTCATTTTCTTTTGCCAAACCCCCCACCCCCCCCCCCACGCCTGCCACCTGAGATGACCACATGGCCCCGCCCTATCGCGGAAGCCAATGAAAATGACAGACGGAAACGGGCTCCTTTGCCTTTGCAAAGCTGATGCTCCACCACTCAAAGGGAATCTGGAGGTTCTACAGCAGAGATGTCGGGGTCAAAGGCTCCAGGTCAGGGCCCAGCGCAGTCCCGTGTTGGGAGGGTCGGGATGGCCAAGCCCCACCCTCTGCAGGATCCGCACCCGGGGCGCTCGGGGGAGGCTCCCCCATCCTGCCACAAAATCAGCCTTCACAGTGCCCCTGCCGCGGGATGGGGAGGGGTGCTGCCAGCTCCTCCTTTATCCACTTGAATGAATCCTGGTGCCCTTTCCCACGTGACCGACAAGTCCTGGGAATGACACACCTACATGGCCCCATCCTGGGGTGTCACTTCCATTAAAGCTAGGCTCCAGGTGTGGAGAGAACCTTTTTGCCCACCTAGGTAAATCTATGCTGCAAGAGGGATGGACTAGGGTAAAGGAGTGGAGAGGCAGCTGCTGGAGTGCTTGGTCACGCAGTGGAGGTTGGGGGGTAAGGAAAAGTCCCTTGATCCTGTACTGGTCAGTCAAACATAGAACCAATGCACATAGTCCATCAGGAAAAACACAACAGGAATGGCTCAAGGAATACTAGCAGGCAGGTAGGGAACGGGTAAGGGAGGACAATGAATTTTTCAGCGGAGTAATAAATCAAGATGGGGTGAAAGCAGTGACTCCGAAGCCAGCGCAGGGGATGCTGACAGGAACTGACCTAGCAGCAACCCAGAGAGCTGGAGGGACACTGGAACAGGAGCAAAAGGCAGTTAAAAATATCAGAGAGCAGGGGACTGGAGAGATAGCACAGCGGGTAGGGCGTTTGCCTTGCATGTGGCCAACCCGGGTTCGATTCCCAGCATCCCATATGGTCCTCTGAGCACCGCCAGGAGTAACTCCTGAGTGCAGAGCCAGGAGTAACTCCTGAGTGCAGAGCCAGGAGTAACCCCTGTGCATCGCCAGGTGTGACCCAAAAAGAAAAAAAAAATCAGAGAGCACTGTAGGGTAACACTCTACCCCCTTGATAATTGGGAGCAGTGATCACTTGCATCTGAGGAAAAACTCCGGAGGGCTGGAGCGATAGCACAGCGGGTAGGGCGTTTGACTTGCATGCAGCGGACCCAGGTTCAATCCTCGGCATCCCTTATGGTCCCCCAAGCACCACGAGGAGTAACTCCTGAGTGCAGAGCCAGGAGTAACCCCTGAACAATTCTGGGTGTGATCCAAAAAGAAAATTAAACAAAAAGAATAGTAAAACAAAACAAAACAAAGTCTCTGAAGGCAGTTTCAGAAAGACAATTTCAAACCCAGAGTATGGGCCCTGAGGGGCAGTACAGGGTTTGTGCACTTATCTTGCATGCAGTTCATCTGGATTGGATCCCCTGAGCACTGTCACTAAAGCTTCTTGAGTTCAAATTAAGACCCTGTGTATGGACAAATCCTTAGAATGGAGGCATACACGGAGCAACATAGGAGCACAACATACTGGTAATCTTGTAGCCTTGTGTGGCCTTTTGAACAGACTTAAATGATTTTTTTCATTCTGGTGACTACTAGATTGTTGGGATTTTACTGCTTCCAAATGCAAATGTTTGGTTTCTCCCCATACGACTCTAATGAGGGGCATGGGATCCAAGAATGCGACCACCAGTTATTGGTCAGTCACCAGCTAAATGGAATTGCCTGCTGAGATGGGGGAAATTTGTGGTCTCTGATAATCCCACCACTTTTTTTTTTTTTTTTTGCTTTTTGGGTCACACGCCGCGATGCTCAGGGGTCACTCCTGGCTTTGCACTCAGGAATCACTCCCAGTGCTCGGGGGACCATATGGAATGCTGGGAATCGAACCCGGGTCGGCCACATGCAAGGCAAACGCCCTACCCACTGTGCTATTGCTCCAGCCCCAATCCCACTACTTTAAAAACATGTTTCCAGGGGCCCTGGCCCCATCCATGCTTTCCAAGAACTGACATTCATCTTCCAATGCACAGCAAAGTCCATTTAAACTCTCTCCAACCCACCCCATTAAAAAACTCTTGCCATGGTCATTTTCTAAAGATGATACTTTCCAAAATATTCATCCTTAATGTTTGTCTAACTCTAACGGGAACTTGAATACAAGGAGTACAGAGATGCTACGGCTTTTAGCAAGGTGCTTGCTTGCACACGGCAGACCTGGACACCAACCACAGAACTTCATGATTCCCCGAGTAGGCAACTTAACGTTAGCAGAACTGGGTGTGTCTCCCTGGAACTTAACACAGGAAGGCCTGAAAAATGGGGATTTGGCTGTTTATCCAATTTCAAAGGATCCACTATGGTGGATCTCTGCCATAAACCCCCACAACCAGTTTCTGAGCAAAGCCAGAATCACAGCAAAAAAAAATGAGACCTTGGTGAACCTTTATAGCCTGAGGGAGAGGCGGGTTTTGTACATTTTTATTTAGTTATTTAGTCACCTTCCGCCTGGCTTCCATCACCAAGACCCATTATTTACAAGTTAATATACACGTGAAGTCTAAATGCTGCGATACAGGAATAGCTGTGACCAGGATGACAATCAGAATGTTTCTCTTTCCCTTATAGAACTGGCATCACAGGAAGCTTCTCAAATGCTACCAGGATTTCCTTCCTGGATGCACGTTGTAGCACCCCTAATTCCCTTGGTCCAAATGAAACATGTCTCACTGATGGAGCCTGTCCTGATGATGGGGATTGTTATTCGGGGACCAACTCATCCAGTATGAATTTTACTATGTTTTCTAAGGCTTGAGGGAAACACAAAGGCCTTCCCACATTCTTTACATGCATAAGCTTTCACTCCAATATGACTTTTCATATGCCTAGTAACAGCTATGGATTCAATGAAGGCCTTCCCACATTCCTTACATATAAAAGGCTTCTCTCCAGTGTGAATTCTTTCATGCCTAGTGAGGCCTGAGAGCCGAACGAAGGCCTTCCCACAGGTCTTACACTCATGAGGCTTCACTCCGCTATGAATCTTCCTGTGCTTAGTCAGGTATGCGGAATGAGAGAAGGCCTTGCCACATTCCTGACAAACATAAGGTTTCTCCCCAGTATGCACTTTCATATGCCTAGTAACGTTTAAGGCATAAATGAAGGCCTTCCCGCATTCCTTACATATATAAGGCTTCTCTCCAGTATGAATTTTCATATGCCTAGTAAGGCTAGAGGGCAGACTGAAGGCCCTCCCACACGTCTCACACTGAAGAGGTTTCTCTCCAGTATGAATTTTTCTATGACTATGAAGGGTTGAGGAACGACAATATGCCTTCCCACATTCCTCACATACGAAAGGTTTCTCTCCACTATGAAATCCCCTATGCTTGTGAAGGCTGGAGTTGCTAATATAGGCCTTCCCACAATCCTTACATATATACGGTTTCTCTCCGGTGTGAATTCTCCGATGTACGGTAAGTCTTGAGGCTCTACTAAAGGCCTTCCCACACTCCTGACATACAAAAGGCTTCTCTCCAGTATGTATTCTTATGTGCCTAGTAAGTCTGGCGGATTCACTGAAGGCCTTCCCACACTCCTGACATGAGTAAGTTTTCATGCCCGCATACATTTTCCTATGTGCAGAAAGCCCTGGGAAGTGACGTAAGGCATTCTCCCATTCTCCAGCATGAATTCTCCTGTGATAACAAAGGCTTGAGGGATAAGCAAAGGCCTTCCCACACTCCTTACACATATACGGTTTCTCTCCGGTGTGACGTTTCTTATGCCGAGACAGGTTCGAGCAGAAAGTGAAGGCCTTCCCACAGTGCTGACACGAGTAAGGTTTCTCTCCTGTATGGATTTTCCTGTGCTTCTTAAGATGCGAGGATAGGGTGAAGGCCTTCCCGCATTCCTCACACAGGTAAAGTTTCTCTCCACTGTGAATTTTCCTGTGCAGCCTTAAACCTGAGCGTTTATTGAAGGCCTTCCCACATTCCTCACATGCATAAAGTTTGTCTACGTTATGAATTCTAATATGTATAATAAGGTGTGCATATTCATCGAAGGCCTTCCCACATTCTTTGCACAAGTATACTTTCTCTCCTGTGTGGAGGTTCAGGCAGTCACACTCAGGTGACGCTTGACTTTCAGTTTGTCCCTGCTGCTGACATTCCTGGGGATCTTCATATCTGTGGGTATCACCATGATGCCAAGAACAAGGGGAGGCTCCCCCACACTCCTTACACTTAGATGGGTTCTGTTCATGGTGACTTTGTCTGTGGGCCTGTTGGCATGGGGGACTCGCTACAAACAGTGCTCCTGTCTCACTGACCAGGGGCTGCCCCCCCAGAGGGGCTTGTGTCCGTGGACTGAGTGCAACACTCTCAGAGTAGCTTTTCCCAGGGGAAGGCTTCTTCGGAGTGAGGTTGCTCTCTCCACTCTGATCACCCTCACAAGACATCCTGCCTGTCTCAGCATCCCCATGGGGCTGAGGGCACGACTGCTCACTCGAGACTTTGTGACACTGCGCAGGATCAGAGATATTCCACCGGGGCTGGCTGCTTCCCTAAGAACAGTAGAGAAGGATTCCAATTATTGCTCTATGCCTCAGTGTCCATGTAAAAGGAAATCGAGTCATGCAGGTTGGTTTCTAACATTTGCACTGCACTGTAATTCCCGAAACTTATGAGTATTAAAAGTAATAGGGAGTAATAGTATAGAAGGGATCACACTTGTCTTGCTAGGGGCACCTGGGTTTGATCCCTGGCATCCTAGATGGTCCCCATGTGCCAACAGGAGTAATTTCTGAGTATACAGCCACCAGGACTAACCCCTGGGCATCGACAGGTGTGACCCAAAAAGCCAAAAAAAAAAAAAGGAGTTGGGGAGAGCATTATACAGTGGGGAGGGCGTTTGCCTTGCATATGGGAACCCAGGTTGGAACTCCAGCTTCCCACATGGTCTTCTGAGCTCTGCCAGGAGTAATCCCTGAGTCCAGATCCAGGAGTAACTTCTGTGCATTGCTAGGTGTGACCAAAAATGAATAATGATAATAATTGCACCCAGTGGGACTAAGGACCCTCTCCTTCAGTATTAGGATGGGGATTTCCTCTCTATGGGACCCAGAGACCATATTTATAGTGGCAGGGATGGAGCCCAGACCCCCACCTCTCAAGTCTCAGGATTAGCCCATTGAGTATCCCGCCGGCCTAAAAATATATAGATTCAAGTGTGAATCTTACCAACTCACTCATATCCGGTGATCCCATTCCCAAAACAAATTGCTGCAATGCCAAATCCTGAAGCTGTGGGTTCAGTTCTGAAATCAAACACAAAACACAGTGTAAGAATTTGTCAAATGGAGGGGCTGGAGCGATAGCACAACAGGTAGGACGTTTGCCTTGCATGCGGCCGATCCAGGTTCAATTCCTAGCATCCCATATGGTCCCCCGAGCACCGTCCAGGAGTAATTCCTGAGTGCATGAGCCAGGAGTAACCCCTGTGCATTGCCAGGTGTGACTAAAAAAAAAAAAGAATTCATCGAATGGAATGTAGTTGGACAAGGCTGAGGCGGTGGAGGACATCTCTATGGTTCTCACAGTCCATAGGGGCCCACAGCAAATGAGTATCCGTTGAGGGGATTGCCCTGAGCAGCTTGGCAATTCCCAAATTACCTTTTTGAGTTTTCTTTTTTGACCAGACCCAGTGATAACTGAGGGAACATATGTGATGCCCGGATTCAACCTGGGTTGGCTCTGTGCAAGGGAAGCACACCTGTGTGTACTATTTCTCTGTATTTCTCTGGCTCAATTTAGCTTTGTTATGTGCTTCCCTCATTCAATATTTAAACATAAAGTCAAAAAATATTCCTTAATGGGTAGAAGAAAATAGCAGGTAGGGCATTTGCCTTCCAAGAGGCTGACAGGGGCTAATGCCTGAGCACCGCCAAAAGTAATACCTTTGAACAGCCCAAAACCAAAACAAAATAATTTTGTTAATATTCTAAAAAGCCAAGCTAATTATCCGAGGGCAAAGATAAGCATGACAGCAAGGGCAGAAGGGTATCCTGCTGCATAAGGACAGGGACCCGACATCGCAGGCTGTACAGCAAGGCTGATAAGGCAGGGGGACTGAGGACCGGGAAGCATTGTGCTATGCTACAGTCCTGACACATGAGGCGACAAACCAAGAAATCAGAGTGAGGATCATTCTGTGATGGAGAGTCCAGGGGAGTGAAGGGCAGCGTGAATGCGTTCCAGATGCCTGGATCCAGGAGCCTGAGGTCCCAGGGTAAAGGTAAAGGTAAAGGCCCTCCCGTTGATCATCGATTTGCTCGAGCGGGCCCAGTAACGTCTCCATTGTAGACTTTGTTGTTACTGTGTCTGGCACATCGAATACTCTCGGTAGCTTGCCGGGCTCTCCGAGAGGGGCGGAGGAATCGAACTCGGGTCGGCCATGTTGGCTGCGTGCAAGGCAGACGCCCTACCCGCTGTGCTATCGCTCCAGCCCCACTTAAAAACCCACTATTCTTGGGGCTGGAGAGATAGCACAGCGGGTAGGGCGTTTGCCTTGCACGCGGCCAATCCGGGTTCGATTCCCAGCATCCCATATGGTCCCCTGAGCATTGCCAGGAGTAACTCCTGAGTGCAAAGCCAGGAGTAATCCCTGTGCATCGCCAGGTGTGATCCAAAAAAAGAAAAATATCCCTTATTTTTGATCTATCCCTGCTACAGAAACTCACACTTTCTCCTGAATCCCTATTGTTCTTTCACCAATGTTCATGCATGTAAAAAAGGCCCTCCCGTTGATCATCGATTTGCTCGAGCGGGCCCAGTAACGTCTCCATTGGAGACTTTGTTGTTACTGTGTCTGGCATATCGAATACTCTCGGTAGCTTGCCGGGCTCTCCGAGAGGGGCGGAGGAATTGAACTCGGGTCGGCCATGTTGGCTGCGTGCAAGGCGAACGCCCTACCCGCTGTGCTATCGCTCCAGCCCTTTGCTATCGCTCCAGTCCTGAGGTCCCCAGGGTAAACAGCACATTTCACACACGCTCAGAGCACCCACACACTGCCCAGGGCTCGAGCCAGGGAGGGTCCTCAGACACTAACCTGCACACACACCTCTCCTCCCTGGCCTCAGGGCTCCTCCTTCCAGCCAGGAGATCACTGCAGGCTTCAATCCAGAATGCCCTGCTCCCAGAGACAGAGGCACAGATTAGTGACAAAAGGTGACAAGTAAACCCTAGTTTCCCTGACATAATTTCAGGGAAATTTCTGAAAAAGTATGAACAGAATTTCACCCCAGAATGCCCTGCTCCCATAGAGACAATGTACGGATTAGAGACAAGGAAAAAAGTGACAGGCCAACTCCGTGTTTCCTAATAAAAGTGGTGAAACTACAGAAAAGGCATGAACAGACTCTCGACTTTCCATATGCCCCAGATTGGTGGATATCAGAGACATAAGATCCAGGTTTCATTTTAAGAATGAAATCTGAATCCTACTGAAGTCTCCCATGAACTACTGGAAGTGACCCCAAGCAGTGAAATAGAGTAGCGACTGATGGGGTGAGGTCCTAAGAAAGAAATGAACTAGTGGCTGGAGTGATAGTCCAGCAGGGCGGGCATATGCCTGACCCACACATACAGGTTTGATCCCTAGCATCCATATGGTCCCAGAGCACTGTCGGGAGAAATTCCTCAATAATAACCAGGCATAATCCCTGAACATGGCCGGGTCTAGCACGCAAACCAAATCAAAACAGAACAAAAAAAGTAATAAATGAAGTTGGGGGTCTGGTACAGTAACACAAAGAGTAAGGTACCAGCCTCAGTAAGCTACTGACTGGGTTAATCCACAGCACCTCCGTGGGCCCCTGAGCACTGCCACAAGTGATCTTTCAGCACAGAGTCAGGAGGCATGTGGACTGTGGCCCCAAATCAAAACCCAGAACAAAACCAAAATAAACACATTGAAGTGAAGGGTAGTACAAGAAGTTAATTTAGCAATGGAAAGAACTATTCACAGGAACCTAAGCGACAGTACAATGCGAAGGACACTTTGCTTGCATGTGGTTGGTCTGGTTCAATGCTCTGCATCTCATATGGACCCCAAAGCCCATCTAAAGTGATGCCTGAGTAAAGAGCTATGGTAACCCCTGAGTATCATGAGTTGTGGCCAATAATAAAAACAGAGGAAAGGAAAGGACATAGAGAAACAGCAAACTGCACAGCTGTCACACATACTGGCCTGTCAGAATTATGGCCACACAGCTCCTGCCCAGCCCCTAAGATCCCTCGCGGGTCTGTCCTGGCAAATTCCCCTGCAGCTCTTACCAATGGCCCGCAGATGTTCGTAGGTCTCCAGCATCACGTCCCTGTAGAGTTTTCTCTGATATGTGGCCAGGCACGTCCACTCCTCTGGGGTGAAGGTGACGGCCACATCAGTAAAGGTCACCACATCCTGAGTCAGGACACATATAGGGGCAAGAGTCAGGATCCCTCCCCAGTCCATTCCCTGGGCAATGAGGAGGGGATGGCCAGGAATCTAGAGGGGTTCAGGGTGTCTCCCTTCAGAAGGAATGAGCCTCCACTCAATATTCCTGGCTGACAGGCCCCCGAAATTATTCTAAGGAAGCTGAATCTGATAAAATGTGAGAAATCTATAGTACACAGTTCCTGTTAGGTGTCAGCCTTGCACACAGACACCCCAGGGCCAAAGGTAGCATCACTGGTCCAGCAAGTACTACAGAGTAACAACTGAACACAAACCCAAAGAGACCAATAAAGTGATCCTGGATGAGGCCCCAAATACTAAACATCCCTCCCTATCCCTCCCCCCCCACACACAAAACTCTTTTTCTAGAAATGAAAAGGGGATGCTCAGTGTTCAGCAAGTTACTCAAAACTCTGTGGAACATATGTTCCTGTAGGACTTACAACTCCTGGTTCAGGGCTGCCCAAAATCTGTCTTGGGAAGCAGTGACTCAGTCCTAAATATCCTTTGCTCTGTCTCCCTGGGACCAGAGCATCCCTGGAGCTGCACACACAGCAGCGTGTGAAAGTGAGACTGTATGACAGAGTAGGCGAGGCTCTCCAGAGTGACAAGGACAAAAGAAAGGAAAGGCATGTCCTGGGGCTGAGTCATTGTAGCTGCCAGGGCACATATGGGACACTCACACACTCCGGGGGCCCTGATGCCATCAGGTGTGAACCCGGAGCACAGAGCCAAGAGGAAGCTCCACTGTGGCACAAAAATAAATACAGAAGAAAACAAAGCAGCATGATGGGGTAACAAGACATCAGGCCAGGGACAATGGGTAGGGCTGGTGTCCGCAACCATTTCATATGGTCCCCCAAGCACTGCCAGGTGCAATGCTGGAGTGCGGAGCCAGGAGTAACCCCTGAGAATCCCCAAGGTGTAGCTCATCCCCTTCAAAACCACCCAAAACAAAACAAAAAAATCCAAGATCAGCCTTGGGCTCCTGGCACCCCATAGGGTCCACCAGTCCTTACAGGAGTGATCCTTGAGCACTGAGCTGGGTATGATCCTTGAGCACCACTACTGTGACCCAAACCCAAACCAACAAAACAAACAAGAACAAAAGTGGCTTCAAACTGCCGAGCTGGTCACTCAGGTCAGGAGCCATATCCCACATCTCTTTCCTGAAACCACCCAAGACTGTTGGCCCAGGAAGCCTGTGTGCTCCTGTCATTACAATATGTTATCTTGTCACTCTCTCCTACCTGGGGACGGTGTATCAGAGGATGCATCACCATCTTCTGCCTTTGTTTTTCCCAGGGATTAGCAGCAAGCTCAGTGCAAAGACCTGGAGAAGTCAGAGCTGTGAGTATCAAAGAGGAACACAACCAGCCCCGCCTACTGCCTGAACAGAAGTCATCTTAAAAGAGATGAGTGAGCTGCAGAGATACAGACCCCAAAGTTAAAAATTTAATCCCAGGGGCTGGAGCGATAGCACAGTGGGTAGGGCGTTTGCCTTGCACGCAGCCAGGATGACCGACACAGGTTCAATTCCCAGCACCCCATATGGTCCCCTGAGCACCGCCAGGAGCAATTCCTGAGTGCATGAGCCAGGAGTAACCCCTGAGCATCGCCGGGTGTGACCCAAAAACCAAAAAATAATAATAATAATAATAGTGATTTAATCCCAGGGGCTGGAGCGATAGCACAGTATGTAGAGCGCTTGCCTTGCACGCAGCCGACCTGGGTTCAATTCCCAGCATCCCATATGGTCCCCTGAGCACCGCCAGGAGTAATTCCTGAGTGCATGAGCCAGGAGTAACCCCTGAGCATTGCCGGGTGTGACCCAAAAAGCAAATAATAATAATAATAGTAAAATAATAAATAATAAAATAAATAAAATAATAATAAAATAATATCGCTGGAGCGATAGCACAGCGGGTAGGGCATTCGCCTTACAAGCGGCCAACATGGCCGACCCGAGTTCGATTCCTCCGTCCCTCTCGGAGAGCCCGGCAAGCTACCGAGAGTATTTGATATGCCAGACACAGTAACAACAAAGTCTCCAATGGAGATGTTACTGGGCCCGCTCGAGCAAATCGACGATCAACGGGAGGGCCTTTACCTTTACCTTTAAAATAATAATAAGAAAATAAAATAAAAAATAATAAAATAATAATAAAAAACAAAAAAATTGATCCCAGCTGTATCACCCATCAAAATTTTAGAATTCCTAAATTCTAAAATTCATCTCATGGGGCTGGAGAGATAGCACAGCGGGTAGGGCATTTGCCTTGCACGCGGCCAACCCGGGTTCGATTCCCAGCATCCCATATGGTCCCTTGAGCACCGCCAGGAGTAACTCCTGAGTGCAGAGTCAGGAGTAACCCCTGTGCATCGCCGGGTGTGACCCAAAAAGCAAAAAAAAAAAATTCATCTCATACACTAGCGATAGCACAGCAGTAGGGCATTTGCCTTGCATGCAGCCAACATGGCCAACCCGAGTTCGATTCCTCCGCCCCTCTCAGAGAGCCCGGCAAGCTACCGAGAGTATCTCGCCTACGCGGCAGAGCCTGACAAGCTACCCGTGATGTATTCGATATGCCAAACACAGTAACAACAAAGTCTCCAATGGAGACGTTACTGGGCCCGCTCGAGCAAATCAATGAACAACCAGAGGACAGTGTCAGAGTCACTCTAACCATTGATGAACCAGGAGTAGCACATCGAATTAGATGAGATGTATAGTAAAAAGCAACCAATCTTGATTAAGAAAATATTAATACCCAAGGCTTAAGCTGGAACAACATGCTAGTAATCTCTTATAAAAAATAAGAGATTACTTATAAAAAATAAGAGATTACTCAATGACTCCTGGTGAAATACAATCTTCACAAACTTCCTTTTTCGTTTTTCTTTTTGGGTCACACCCGGCGACGCTCAGGGGTTACTCCTGGTTCATGCACTCAGGAATTACTCCTGGTGGTGCTCAGGGGACTATATGGGATGCTGGGAATCGAACCTGGGTCAGCCGCATGCACGGCAAACGCCCTACCTGCAGTGCTATTGCTCCAGCCCCACAAACTTTAAGGAAATCGTTTTTGATCATTTTGAGTGAATTAATCATAATAAGCCATGCAAAATAAATTATCTAGGGCCTGCTATTGGGGCAGGCTTGGGTGGTGGTTGGGAAAATTGAAAATAATGGTGGTAGTAAGGTGTAATGGTGGTGGAATTAGTGTTGGAATATGGAATGCAATAAATCAATATGAACAACTTTATAAAAATAAAATTAAATTAAAAAAAAAAAAGTTCCTGCATTGGAGCCAGAAATGTTGTGACTGGTCAGACCCTTGGACATCAGCTTGGGTGGTGGTTGGGAAAATGGGAAATAATGGTGGTGGAAAGTGTAATGGTGGTGGAATTAGTGTTGGAATATGGAATGCAATAAATCAACGTGAACAACTTTATAAAGGTAAAGGTAAAGGCCCTCCCGTTGATCGTCGATTTGCTCGAGCGGGCCCCGTAACGTCTCCATTGGAGACTTTGTTGTTACTGTGTCTGGCATATCCAATACTCTCGGTAGCTTGCCGGGCTCTCCGAGAGGGGTGGAGGAATCGAACTCGGGTCGGCCATGTTGGCCGCTTGTAAGGAATTAAATTTAAAAAAAAAGTTCCTGCATTGAAGCCAGAAATGTTGTGTTGTGACCGACCAGACCCTTGGACACTGGCTCTGAGACCTATCCAAGGGAGATACTGTCAGATGCTTCTGCCTCTCCAGGGGACAGAGAGCGCTCAGCTCAGCCTACAGGGGAGGGAACTGCAGCCCTGTCTGAGCCACAGGAAACCTGGGACCCACAGGAAGGTCCCTAAGGTCAGGGACTAACTCTGAGGCCAGGAACTCCTGGGCAGAGGCAGCCCCTGCAGGCCCCAGTGACCACAGCCTGAAAAGTGCATCTGCCATGGGGCTAGACATAGACTTGGCATGGACAAACTGTCAGCCGTCCTCTTGCAGAGTGGATGGGGACATGTACCTGGGCATTCTCTCCTGGGGACCAGGGTCACTTCTGAGCTCAGGTGAATCTCAAGCACCATTCCAGCTCTAACCCACTGGACCTGGGTCCATCTGGGTCATGATTTACTGTAATCCTAAATTAGCACATCTGCATAGGCCTCATCCAGCACTCACTCCTGTTGTGCAAGTATATACTTACCAACAGCATGCTGTATAGAAAAATTATCCTAATATTCAGGTTATTTAGATAGACCACGAGGTTAACTGTGTGTGACAGTTGGAACTTTTGGAGTAAATCTACTTTTTTTTTTCTTTTTTGGGTCACACCTGGCGATGCACAGGGGTTACTCCTGGCTCTGCACTCAGGAGTTACTCCTGGTGGTGCTCAGGGGACCATATGGGATGCTGGGAATCGAACCCGGGTTGGCCGCGTGCAAGGGAAACACCCTACCTACTGTGCTATCTCTCCAGCCCCAGTTAATCTACTTTTTAACCATAAATATTGTCTCTTGGAGGCTGGAGAGGTAATACAGCAGGTAAGGTGTTTGCCTTGCACTTGGATGACCCAGGTTCGAAACCCAAGCACCCCATAAGGACCCTTGTCCCCTGCCAGAATTCTAGTGAGAAACATTTAAAGGGTTGAGCAGTAGGTACTTAAAGCCCCTTTCCTGAAATGCTGCCAAATCCCATTTTTTTTTGTTTCCTCTCATCTCTCCTTCCTCCCTCCCTCCCCCCCTTCCCTCCCTTCCTCCATCCCTCCCAAGAACTGGCGGTGCTCAGGGATTACTCAGAGATCTTTCCTGCCAGGTTTGAGTATTGTCTTATGCTGGGTTCAAACCTGGGTTGCTTACGTTCAAGGCAAGCGCCCTAGTTGCTACACTATCTCTTTGGCGTTTTCTAAATAAATTTCTTCCCAGTACACTGGTGACCCTGGGAAAATCTCCCACTCCACACACACACACACACACACACACACACACACACACACACACACAACCTCTTCCTTCAAAAAAAAAAAAAACACCCTTTATCTGCAGTACTCACCCAATAGACAATAGAAGTCTTCGCAGTCAGGGAAAGATGAAAGAGTTGGGGGTGGTTTCCTACTTCAGGTGAGAGAGCAGAAATTCCTGGTCTGGAAAAGACACCAATGTTGGGGTCTGACAGACAGTAAAGCAGTAGTATGCTTGCCTTGCTGACCCCAATCAAGCCTCAGCATCCCACATGGCCCCCAAGTGACAGGCAGGAACAATTCCTGAGCGCAGATATAGGAGTAAGCCCTGATCCTCTCTGGGTATAGCCCTCCAAGTCCCATGAAACAAACAAACACACAAACAAACAAACAAAAAAGCTCCCCAAAAAGTCAATTTTCATTGGCAAAACCCCACCCACCGACAAGGACCTGGTCCCATCACAGCAGCCAGTGAAAGGACGGATGGAAACAGGATCTCTTGCAATGAGAGATAGTGTTGCAACACTACCCATGAAAGTGAATCCGGAAGTACTGTAGCAGCAATTTAGGCGCTAAAGACTCCGGGACAGGACCCAGCTCAGTCCTGTTCTGGGAGGATCGGAACCGCCAAGCCCCCGCCCTCCCCAGGTCCCGCACCCCCAGGTCCGCAGCCCACGCGCTCAGCCCCGCGCCCACCCGCCCGCTGCCCCATCGAGCAACTGGAGGCGATCGTGGCCGCAGGGGGGCCCCCAGGAACACGCACTCACACCCGCGACCCCTGCGCCTCGGAACAGCCCCCTCTGCACCCGCCAGATCTCCACGTCCCTCCTAAAGCCTCTGCCGTGTCTCAGGAACCACCTGGATATCGGCTAACTAGTAAAAAAACAGGAGGAAAAAAAGAAAAAAAAAACAGGAGCGAAAAGCGCCCAAGCTGGCCCGTCCCGCCTCTCACAGTGCGGACCGCTCGGGTCCAGCCACAAAAATCGTCTTTCAGAGCCCCCCATCAGCACCCCAACAGCCCGCACCTTCCTCCTTCTCCCACGTGACCAAAGGCGGGCTGATCCACGTGACAGGGTCTGGACCCCGAAAATGCCTGGGAAGTCTGTGACGTCACACCCATTCCGCTCAGGAGCCTTAAAGCGCCAGGCGCCTGGTACTCGAGAGACCTTTTTGCCCACCTAAATGAATCTGTGCCTCCAGGGGGATGGGCTGGGATAAAGAAGTGGAGAGGCAGCTGCTGGAGTGGTTGGTCATAGAGTGGGGGCTGGGGGTATGGAAAAGTGCTCTGTTGCTGCACTGGTCAAACACTGACCCAATGCTCTCACACATCAGGAAAAATACAAGTAGGTTGATTGAGGTTTAACTGGCACTTAGGGAGGAGGGTGGAGCATGGGACAATGAGTTTTTTGGGGTGGTGCCATAGCACAGCGGTAGGGCGTTTGCCTTGCAGGCAGCCATTCTGGTCGAGCCAGGTTCAACTCCTTCGCCCCTCTTGGAGAGCCCGGCAAGCTACTGAGAGTATCTCGCCCACAGGGCAGAGCCTGGCAAACTACCCGTGACATTCAATATGCCAAACACAGTAACAATAAGTCTCAAAAAAAATGGAGCAGGTGGGGCCCGCTCGAGCAAATCGATGAACAATGGGAGTGTTGGGATTGGGAGTTCCCTAGCCCTGGGAGGCGCGGAGAGACCAGATAGACACAATTCCTGCAGGAGTAAAAACGGGGTTTATTTAGACCAGCATGCTGGGGCTCCGCAGCATACCCCAAAAATGGGCAGTGGCTGAGAGCCCCGAACTTCTTCAAAGGGGATCTTATATAGGCCTTCACTGGCCGTTATAGCAAAGCCCGCGCATTTCATAGCCAATAGATTTGTAACAACATATACTTTCTTAACCAATCCATTTAAAATTACCTCACTCCTTAGCCTATAGATTCAAAGATCAGCATTTACTTACATCGATTGTCAGCACAAGCAAGGTTATAGCTGGAATCATTAAGCCTTAGGTAATCTCCCTTGACCATCCTCGTTTTGAGTTACCCAAGTCTGCAGGGTGCTTTAGTGAGACAATACATTCCAGGAAAGGGCAATTTCCCCCAACCACCCGCATCCTGAGTTATCCTTTACCCAAATCTGCAGGGTGCTTTACTGAGACAATACATTTCAGGAACAGTAAATACACCTGAATCCTGTCACACTTGGTTTAGAAAGAAGTTATGCCCTGTTCACTTTCCAAGTCCCCTCTCCCCCAGGTGCAAAGCAGCCAAGCAGTTTTACAGAAAGCAATGTTGCAAGTTAGCTGAAGCACACAAAAATTTGATGCCCTAATATGGATTCTTTCATTCCCCACTTCTTTTCATGAGCATCTCTAATCCTAGAGATCGTGGGGGGGTCGGGGCCTAATTCAAGGACCCGTGGTTAAGAGTAGCTTCCCTCAGTGGGTAGAGTCCGGTATTGTTGCCCCGAATTAGGAGGATCTTCAAGACTCAAACCAATTCTCCCAGGCTTCTCCGACGTCGTTCAAGGCCTTCCCGTAGCTTGGCTATAGAGTCTCTGACAACCTCAGTGTGGTCTGCGTAGAAATAGCATCCCTCCACCAGATCAGAGCAAAGCCCTCTGTTCTTGAGGAACAACAGGTCGAAGGTCGAGTCCTCTCAGGTTTTGGGAGACTATCTCGAACAGGGATGTGAGAGATTTCTCGATGAGGTCTTAAAAAGAGTTAAAGCAACAGAAACCAAAGCAACATAATGCCATACCCATCTCTATCATTAAAACAATGAAAAGGATTAACTCTACAAACAGGTTTGGTTGATAATATAACTTCCTGTATTCAGATTTTTCTAATGGTCACAGAAACACCAAGCCATTCTCTGGCTTTCTCAGTACAGACTGGAAAAGCTTCTGCCCATATACTGAAGCTATCAATGAGAACCAACAGATATTTATACCTTGAACGTATGAACATTTGATCATTTGTATAAGGTCAAGCTGCCAATTCACCTCTAAGTTCCTTGATGCTGAACAGGTGTTAGGAAAGGAGGCTCAGGATTTCCACTAGGTTCATTAATGGCACAGAAAGCACAGTTCTGAATTACTTCTATCTTACTTGCTGTTCAGTTCCTCCCCATGGAAGATGGTTCTCACTAGTGTTAAAACATAACCCTTTAATAATATTCCATTGCATTGGTCCAGGAGTTGTTAATCCCATGATGCAACAGAAATTAAGAGCTGATAATATTCTTGTTCTCTCCAAATGACTGTTCACAGAAAATGAGATGCAATAAAGTATAGAAAGAAAATTCACAGTATTTTAGAACTAGATATTAATCTACTCTAATTTAACCAGTTTAGATGCCTTTCTCGACACTTTGGCCAATTCAGACCGGGGGAAAGCAATTCTGCACTTTGAGATGAGCTTCACCCTAGTAAAGCTCTGGCTTTCAATGCTCGTATCAGACTAGTGACAGCATGTATAATATTGAGTTCCCTTTACAGATTAGGCTGTTTTACCTACAGACAGTAAACTAAGTTTTATCTAAATTTCCCCAAAGGGGGTACCTTTTAGATCAAGATTAGAATATATTTATTCAATCACCTCTGTAGAATTAGAATCTGATTCTTACAAAAAGCAAGTTACAGAAACATGGTTTTCTCTCCACCTTCATTTTAAAACGTTGCAAGATAGTTTAACAAACCTGGCTTGTTCTTTTGCATAAACACAGTAAGATTAGAGAACTCTCCATTTGGGATACCCAATTATTTACTGAGAAGTCCTGGGGATCAGCTAAAGACAGGAGACACAACAATAGTGGCATTAATCTTCATTAATCTTATCTGGCACGTCAGAGCTACCCAGGCCTGGCCAGAAGATGTCCCGCGATGTCTCGAGCCTTCGGGTTGTGGCTTTGGTCCTCGTTTTCCACAGAGATGTCCTGGCAGAAAGGAATCCATCCCATCCCTTCTTCAGGGCTGGGAGAAATCCTGGTTTCTAGGTTTTTCCTTGACGCTGAGAGTAGGCCCAGACTGAGTTAGTCATTGCAGAGTCCTAGATTCCTCATTCTCCATAGCAGTGATGGTTTCCAGTCTTTTCTCGAGCCAGCCTGCCTCTAGGGTCGCCCTGAGGTTTGTAGGGTTCTTGAAACAGTACCTGTTAAATCCCTGCTCCTGTCATTTAGACAGATCCCCTGACTGTTTCCCTGGAAGAGGGCTTTGGGGTCCCATGGCTGGTTTTTCCTGTCTGCATGAGGGGTAGACCCTATTACAGAGAGGAAAGACTTATCTGGATTTATGCAAACCAACATAGTGCCATGAAACATCAAAAAACATACTGAAGGTACAAAAGAAGAGAAAAGCAAGTATTTCACTTTACTCACAGAGATGTAATACACCTGTTTGCTGTGGGTCCTAGTCAGAGAAGCTAAAATCTGTAGAGATAAAGCATACCGTTTAACATGTTTTTAATCCCATGTCAAAACCCTTGATTTCTTGCAACTTTTGAAAAATTCAATGATCTTAAGAGCACTGTAACAGGAGTTCAGATAATCCATCAATCATCTTTTCCATAGATCTTACCACAAAGGTGCTAGAAGAATTCTGCATGTGATTTAAAGCGTTTCTTATAACAGTTTGACCAGTTCCTTTTCTTTAGAACAACCTCAAACCTTCTACACATTCCTTTACATACATTCTGTAACTTTCATTCATTTAAAAATCAATTTCACTTTAACAGAATTCCTTTCCTTTCTTCCCACTGACGATATCTCCATCCATTATCTTTCTGACTTATGGCATACATCTATAGTAGTACAATGTACAATGTGATCTCCCAAATTTAGACACAAGTTACCAACCATCTCACTTAACATGACAAAACTGTACTCTGCAGTACTATTTCAAAAGCATTAGATCAGTTCCATAGATATTCAAAATGCCTTAAAAATGCTCACAATTAAAGCTTTTACAAGGTATATCCACTGGGCAAAAGATCACTTTACATTAGAAATTAACCAGGAGACATCTTAAAATTCTGATTTACAGGAAAACACAAAATACAAAAAGATTAAAACACTCATATATTACCATGAAACAGAAAGCATCTCAGGTCAGGGCTAGGTTGATACCTGGAGACAAAGCTTGGCATAAAATAAAATTATCAAAATAATAGCATGCACTTTCAAGCACTAGACAAGCAATGCTATGGCTTCAAATTGTCAGGCTGACATCTGAGACTAATTCAATACAACTTATTACTAAGTAGCCCTAGAAATTTTTGTTACCAAGAGTCTCAGAGATCAGATAGAGCACTGGTAGGACAAACTTTGCAATCAATTTTATAACTCTAGAAACTCATGATTAAACTAAACCATTACTTTTAAACCAGTT